TAGGGTCTGCATTCCTTTTTTTTTTTTTTTTAAGCCCCCCGGAGGGGATTTTTTATTGCATTTTTTTAATACACTACAAACTACAAACAAAAAAATAGGGAAGAGAAGTACATCTAAGGAGAAAGAAAAGTTAACCACTAATACACAAAACCCCTAGAATGGGACATCATAACAGCAGCTTATATAAGTATTAATCTAATAACACTGCTAAAATTACATTGAACGTAGTCAATTATGCTAAATTATTTGTCTCGTTATCTATTGATTTAACTGTTTAAAGAAAACCTCTAGCGCATCTTCTAAAATAAAAAGTTTAAGGCACAATTCAGAGTCCTTCAGCCTTTACTTTGTTTTATCTTTTCTAATCCTTAGCTGGTATGCTTGTTTGGGGGCAGCCACCCCTTTATTAGAAGCAGAGTCCTCATCGGAAGACCCAGAGTCCAATTCGCCACTAGATTTGCTATCCTCTTCTCCCTTAGCGTCCTCAGCTGTCTCTCCCGGTTACAATCTCAGGAATTCACGCACTTTGTGAATGGAGTCAATCTTCTCTTTTTAGTTGTGTAATTTGAAAGTGACGCATTCTGGAATTAACCATCTGTAGGCAATGCTATTTGTTTGTAGAAAAAGCGCCAAGTCTTTATACTCCTTCCTCTTTTGTCTTATTTCAAAAGTATGTGTTTAAGAAGATGGAGATGTTGTTGTCTCCGATCTTCAAGGGTGTTCCCGTAGTTGCTTTTAGGATTGAATCCCTCACGTGTTTCTTCAAGAATCTGACCACTATCTCCCCAGGCAGATTATTTATTTTTATTGTAAACGGAATAGGCCCTATAGAACACATCCATCTCGCTTGCAAGATAATCTGCCTTCAAATATGTAACTGGGGCCGATGCTTCACTCAGTAGTTGTTTTAGATTCTCACCTTTTACCTCAGGGACCCTTGAAATCTGAGGATCAAATTTGCTTTCTCCATTTGTAATTGTAAAAGTTGAAATTCGTCCTAAGCTTGCTTCCCCCCCAGCATTTTCACCTTTTTCTTAACTTTTTTATTGTTAGCGTCCATTTCCTTAACTTTTTCAGCTGTTTGCTCCGTCTTCTTTGCAGTTTCAGTCAATTGGAGCTGCTGAGTTGCAAAGTTCTCATTTAAAGTTTTGAGCTGTTGATCGACATTAGTCATCTGTTCCAGCAGAGGGCGCAAGGAATTTGCCAACAGTTTAGAGAACTCAGTGGTTTCTTCCGGTTGGGGGCTCATGCTCCCCACTGGTTTAGTTTTTGCTAAAAACTCTCTGGCTTCTTCCCCGCCATCTTTATGGATAGTTTACTTTTAGAAAAAGTTGCTAAAGTCTCTGAAATTCGCCCGTACGCTTATTCACGCTCCAGTAAGTCTCTCAAAACAGGTTTCAACACTTTTGCCTTTGCCCCCCCCCGTTAAATCGCTTTTTTGTTTGTGTGTATGGGAGGGCCCCCTCCCCCGCTCACTTTTGTTGCTGATCCCTGGGGGTGTGTGCTTTCTTTTTATAATCCCATCATTCGCTTTAACTCAACTCACAGTTCATTGTTGGTCTTTCGACCTCGCTCGGAATACGTTTCAAACGCCCGCACTCTGACGCTTGTCCCGGT